AAACTATTCATGGAAGACAGATGGCAGAACCAGGCCATTAAATGGGAAGAAGTACAAGGAACCAGTCACTGTGAATTCCACTGTGCTCCACCATGCAGGGATAACTGGAAGAACTCAGTCACCACAATGCAAACAGAAAACAACAACACTGCTACCAAGCTTAAGCTTTTAAGGTGAGACACTGTGAAAGATGAAGGAGACTATTTTATTTAGTTACTCTAGCTTACCTACACTCTCTTCCTTGTTACTCACTATCACCTTCCTAACCCATCTACATGCACAGGCCAACCTGCTGTGCAGTCCAACAACTGAACACTGTTCCTAGATATGCTTCTACCTTAAAACTGATCCAACAGGACTTGCTTACTCGGCAGCAGCTGTTAGTAAAACAAACACTTGGGCACCTCTGCAAACTTACCACTGACCTCTAGGATTTCCAAAATCACTAGTATAGTCAGAAGAGGTAAGGGCCAGAGTTGTAGCTAGCAAACTCGCAAGCTTGCCCAGTTATTCTCATGAATGTGCAAAGCAAATGCCCTGAAAACAACTCATGTCCCTTAACCTCCTTGATGTCTGGGATGCCTATGCCTCTAAAAAGTGATCTAGTAATACAAACACATTATGAACTAATAATACCTATGACAGTCCATTTATTTATTATTTTTAAATAGATCTGTAATTAAACTTTTTCTACAAAGCATGCATGTTAGCGCAGCCATTCACAGCATGAATCCAGAGAGAAAAAGATCACCTACCAGAGAGCTAAGTGTTATTATGGCTAGTCAGTATTGGTACTTGCTTTTGATTAGTATTGTACACGTACTTTAGTTTGCTCAACCCGTGGCTCACATTTAGTTTGACTGCTTACCAAGGATTTCCAAGTGGTAAGTTAGCTTTTACTAAAATAATAAAATACATAACTTCCTTCAAAATGACAGAAAACAGGTAATTAAACTAATGCTACAAGCAAGCATATATAATTCCCATTAAAATATGCAACACTTAAGATACGACCCTGAAAGCAATCTGAGGTCAAATCAGACTAACAGCAGTGATTAGGAGAGCCAAAAAAAATGTTTTTGTCAAAAATCACAATTGAATTTGCAAATTCAAATGACAAACAAAACACTTTCATATTCCAAGGCACACATCTCACATACCACTCTTTCAAACATTTTGGAACAGCAGAAAATGTGCCAGGTAACTCGGTCATGGATCACCCTCAGCAGCACAATGCTTATCACTCCCCATGATTTCAGATGCCTGAAATTTCCTCAGCACCTATTTTTCACTAATTTCTGTAGTTTAGAAAGATAAGCAAAGCCCAGAGTGAATGGAGTGCTCACCATCTGAGCTTACGCTTTGCTGGATGGAAGCCACTGCAGTGCCCCCCTATAATCCAAGTCATGTGAAATTACAGTATGACAAGTCCCTTTCGGGACTATATAAGCTGGCACCTTTCCCAGCAGTTGCCACATCATGAAAACGATGCATACAAATAAAACCCAAATATAAACGCTTCGAAACAATGGCTTAAATTACTTCATAACTAAACTTGGCAGCTGTAGACATGGGAGCACTCCCAGTGGCAAACCATGCATCTCCCACTTGCAGAAGTCCTAGAACATATTCTTATCAGCACGTTCCACATCACAGCTAGGAAGCAACCCACAGGTATGGGCTGCAGACTCACATTCCTTGAGGCCAAAAAACAGGTAAATAAATAGATAAAGCATGGATAATAAAAGCAGGGAGCATCACAGACATCCCCTATGCAGACAGAGCTTCAAAGTATTAAATGTACTTTCTACCACCAATTTCAATACATCATCTAATTAAGTGAATACAGTTAATGCTATTCTAGAAGAAGCATAGTAATCAATGTTAAAAAAAGTCACAGCTTGGTATCTTGAAAATGAGGAACAATAAATTAAAATACATGTTTTTACCTTACAACAACGACAAAAAAAAAGCTCTTAATCTTAACACTAAAAAATTTGCTGTATTGTGCTCCCTGGACATTGAATTTCTCCCACCTGGCTGTAAGTAGACAGGATTTATGATGATGATGTTCTAAGGAACTGCAGGGGTTCTCGATGTCAATAAAGATTACAGATCAAATGAAAGGTGACTACTGATCATTGTGTCAGCATAGATAAATAAACCTGCTCGCTTATTTGTACTGTTAGCTCGTCTAATCCAACTACAACACTCAGGAGAGGAAGGGCTCAGAAATCAGATCTGAAAACAAAAGGCTTCTCACACCTCTCCCATCCCAACTCTTCTGGGTACATATATACCACACATTCACACCTTTCAAGAAGTGTTCATGTCCTTAGGAAAGGGTGAATCCCTGACAAAGAACTGGAGAACTAAGCAGAAAGCAAAATGTTCAGGAAGTCCAGATGGAATCACCAAAATCGGAGCACGAACACACCAGTCAGATTGACAGCATGGAAAAAGGAGAAAGCAACACCACCCAGAAAAAAAGAAAAAAAACAAAAAACACGTGGGCAAAAACCTCCAGTGCAGACCTAAACCGAGACACGGCAAGTGAAGAACCCGGGAGGAGCCGGGACCCAGACCCACGGTGCCAGGCCCCAAGGCCGGGACCACGGACAGCCCAGCCTGGAGCTCCTCGCAGCAGGAAGCGCGGGAGCGGGGAC